CACAAACATTTGTTTACTAGCATTAATAAATGTAAATTCCAGATCTGAAATAATGTATAATAAACATGAGAGATGCTTTTTGCAAAGACATTCACATTACATAAATCTGAACTATACAGACATGAGTCATACTTTTGCCCATAAAAGCACCAAAGTTACAAGAGTTCTGCCCATAGAAGGCAGAGATAAGGGTCTGTTCTGACAGTTGGCAAGGCAACAAGGCAGACAAATAAAGTGACAGGGCAGTTTCAAATTCAGAGTAAGAACAGTGCACGCAGACCAGGATTCTTAGCAGTCACATGCCACTGTTCGGAAGTCCCAGTGATCAGCTTAATATGAGTAATTATGAGTACAGAGTTTGTATCTCATCTATGTGGTCAACTTCCCTTCCAAGCTGGTACTGGTGATGACGATCTAGACATTAAATATGCTTTTAATTAATACAACAAATCATATATCCAGCAAACAGACTAAACTGAATTCCCATTCTTAAAAGTTTATTCCTCCAATTCCCTTTGACTTAGTGAGGGGTACCATATTTAAAAGCAGAGATTTGGGCGATATCCATTGGACCAGCTGAATTAAAATTGGAACTGTTAGGCCTTTTTTGGCATGGAAATTCAGTGGGCAGGTTACAGTTTAAAAAGAAAACAGAACCTCCTTAAATATGTGTTGTGTAGGGATCTAGTAAACATGTAAGACCTTCACAGCGATACTCTGCAACAAAGAATCTTCCATGTGAATTATCAGGGTTGTAAAAACTGAAAATTTCCCCATCCACTTTTTACTACCAGTTCTAGAAAATCCATAGCTCAGGAACACTTACGAATACAGATGGAAACAAAAGCATATACAATTAAGCAACAGTAATAGTGGATATCTGCCAGCTGTGCATGGTTTTTAGAGTTTGTTTAGAGACAAGTTTAACCACAGGGTTTACAATCATGTAAAAACCTCTCATTGGAGCCATCAACCTGTATGATTTAATTATTTTATTCAAATTATTAAGAAGAGTACACAATGGTGTGCAAGCACAACTGACAACACAAGAAGTAAAATGCTTCTCGAAAGTGCGCAACCCCCTTCAATCAGATAAGAAGCCATGTGAGATGTCAGGTGCAAGGGCAGAGGTTGTGCGCAATCCAATCATGAGCAAACGTGCAGGAAACATCAGGAGTTTAAACAGGACTTTAATGCTGAAGATTAAAAAGCTCCCACCCCCAAAAATGCAACTTACATGTAACTAGAATTTGAACAGTGTCACTCCTAAAATGATGGCAGCTGGAGAAGGTTGTTTTAAAAAAAAAAAACATGAGAACTGAAAGGGATTACTTTTTAAAAATGGGAGAAATGGAAGTGGGAAATATAAATAAGAAATAATCGATTTTGGTGATCTTTGTAGTGTGTGTACAGAGACTAATGTAAAGTAATGCACTGACAGTAAAGTCCCATAATATCTTATTAATTTGAAAAAGCACAGGTAACTTGGAACTGAAATGGATTGATTTTTAAAATGAACTTTTCCCAACTTACATCACACGTAAATATTGTTTTATGTTTTCCTTTTATTAGTAAAATGAAATAATTCTTGTCTCATCATTAAAAATGTATCATACAATGAGCTCGGACTGTTGTGGTGAACAGACAATCAGACAGGAACACAGAATGTATAATACAACTAAGGAAAAGAAAAATAAATAGGGCGAGATAAGATGCAACTCTACAGGAAGGAAATTCAAAGCTGGCAGGTTGAATCATCACTCACAATTTAGTACTGCTTTTTTAAAGCAGTGGTTCCTCCACTCTGAAATCAATATCAATATTATACAGCCATTGTAGGAGTTATAAAGGAGAGTAGCTAGCACACTGAAGTGCTTTTAAACACGGTGCTCATTTTTGTAGAACAAATTGGTTTTGCATTACTGCATCAAGTGGGCGTTTGTATTCAGGCAGAGATCTGTCTACAAGGTTATGGAGAGCTCTCAATTTTATGAAAATATGAACTTTTGCTGAGTTTTGAATCAAATATGCTAAACACAAAGTGAAATAAGAACATAAAAAAAGTCTACAAATGCGAGGAGGCCATTCGGTATATCCTGTTCATTTGGCAAAAGCCTTGTGCCATTTCCATTGCCTTGTTATACAAATATACAGACAGTATCTTTCAACTATGAGGATTATCCTCTAAGGAACAGGCCCACAGCAAAGTTCAGATATTTTTAAAACTACACTAATATACAGTAAAACCTTGATGGAGCCCATCTGTTTTCAAACATGGCACACATTATAAGTGTGAACTTCCATTCAGATAAAGCCACATCTGTTGGGACACTTCAATCTTTCATGCTTCCGAAAGACATGAGCTGAAAGCAGTCACGCACGGGTAAAACTGTGGTCTCGATTTACAGATTTGAACAAAAGGACTTTCAAAGAATAAAGAATGTTTCAAAGAATGTTTGCTCTCGTAACCTTATATAAATACAATACATTTTAAAAGTATGGAATGAAACTGCAAATCAACGAAAAATACACAGAAAAACCGAAGACTTAAGGAAAACAATTCTGTGAGAATTACTCAATGAAAAAAAAAGGGTCAAAGGTCTATTTTTCTAAAGAGGACAGCTTGCCATTGCATACAAACTGTCAAGGAGGGGGTTGGAAACAGCTTCAGCACAAAAGACATTTAAACAGAGAAGCGTAACCACAACAAAGTGAAAGTCACATTTCTTCCTAGTTCACAGACACAGATTTTTGCCTTATATAGTCACTAGCCAGATGTACTTTGCTAAGGGTCATGAAACAATAATGAGCTGAAAAAATATTCTAAACATAAGAACCAGTCTGCAAACAAGGGCAATCCATTTGACGCAACCAGTTCATTTCAGCAACTTGTTACAGCAACTAATAGATCCCAGCATCTCAAACGGCCACTTCTTGAAAGAAGCAGTAGCACTGATTTTGACAACATGGATGTTTTGTTTTTTATTGCAGACTCTCACCACCACCTTTTGTGTTAAAAAAATGTAGAATACATAATTAGACATTTTGAACTGGTATTGTGAGGGAAGGATACAAGAATACAGGAGCAGCACAATCCTGGAACTTAGTATATACAAATTGAACCATTTTGTCCACAAAAGGACTGCAGAGGATAGTGTTGATAATTCTAACTTTGTATTATATACAGCAGCATCTTAAAATGTAATAAACTCAAAGCACTCGTGGGAATAAAACATATGTCCATTAACCTTATAGGTTTGCAATACCCTTTAAAATATTAAACACGCAAAAAATTTAGTTAGAATTTATGAGCAAAATATTTTTGATGGGTTATGATAAAAATGTGAAAATAACGCTTATGAAATATTTGTGCATTTCAGAATGAAATTCACACAGCTTAGTGCTGCAAATGTCCCAGTCTGAACAAATGTGTTCTTGTCCTTTCTTACTAGTTTAATTTCTTGACCAGCAGTAAACTCTTGATTAGTTTAGAAGTGGGGTCATAAACTGAAACTTCCCAAACAGGTCCATGTGTAGGAAGTCTAAAATGAAACTTAGTAAAAATGACCAAAGCTATGCTTTCAGCATACAGTTATTTCTACACATACTGTACGTCACAGTATGTACATAAGCATACTGTATGTATGTACTGTAGTATTACAAAAAACAAGAATTAATATTTACTGCATTATAACAGACTACATTAAAAGCATGGAGTTGCATTTCAAATAATCCTAATAACATGGTTGTGTGTTAAATTGAGAGATTATTTAACAAGTGACCATTTCATGAAACACTCCTCAAAACTACATTCTCCTACAGCCTGCAACTCTAGAAGAAAAAGTGTTTTTGTCAAGTTATTTTGTCTCTTGGAGCCTCCTACTTCTATGTTTATAGCACTCCCTTGATTTTATTTTTAAAAAGCATAGTTTACATTATGAAGGTTTAAAAAATGATGAAACAAATAGCCTAATTTAACAGCCATTTAAGGCATTGGAATTTCCACTGGCAAAACATCTAAGGCGTTGAACAAACAAACCATTATTTAGTTGGTATTGATATTTTGGGAGTATCTAGTGATAGAAAGATTCCCAGTTTACCGTTTTCAGGAACAAATCTTTTGCATTTGGGTCTATATACAATCACAAAAGTCTATTGTATGAAGCTGGGTGAAAGGTGAGGAATCCTGAGCACCACACCTGAGCAAAAGACTGTAATCATCTGTGAAAACAAGTACTAGAAGAAACTACAACTATCACCCTTACTCGCCTTAATTAGCAATAAATGAATTACAGTATTTCACTTTACCGTGTGACCTCCACACATTTTATTGCTTTTCTTTTGTATGTATATTTTGTATTTGTTGTTAAGCTAGTTTTTTATAGTTCACTGTATGAATTATGCTTTTGGGATATTAATTGATCTCCTAAAACAGAAACTTTATTTGTACAGTATGTGTGGTCTGCAAAGGGTTAGCAATATTTCGGTTCTGGTAGAAGTGTTGTATATCATGCTCTTGATTTGCATGGCTTGAATAATGTTATTTCCAAGCATTTGGAAAGCTCTGCTCTATTTTTTACAGAAATACATTAGAATATAATAATGCTTGATTCACTAAAGATATGGTACCAATCTGAAAAAAATATCAATCAATGACCCACTGCTATGGTCAAATAAACCATTTTGTTATGCTGTGTTCTGGCCAATACTGAACAAAACAGGGTTTGCTCACTTGCACAATGGTACACTTCTTGAACGCACCAGGTGACTAAAAGCCTCACACTACCATTCAAACCTTATCAAAAATCCTGTTTTCTAATGTCAAAACCTTTAGATTTGATAAAGTTATTGTGAATTTGGCATTGCATTTCTAAAGCTTATTAATGGTGAAGGCGATATTGATAGGAAATATAAATACTGGCAGCCCTAACTGAACTCAGTTAACTCACAGCACAGCAGTATAAAATAACTTCAGGAAATAAGGAAAACAATTTACTTACAGGCTTCTTTAGAAAGAAGATGGAAAGAGCTCCAATCAAAGGCATGTCTCCAAGCAGGGGGTCCATAACAACTCTCATTACCCCATGAAGCTAGAAGTATTAAAATAAAAATAAGATGAAACATTTACAATTTAACACAAGTTTTACACTGGTATTTTCTGTGCCAAGTACTAATAGCATTTGTGTAGTGTATGGGTTTTGCTCTATAAAGTTATCATTTGAGATTTTTTTTCTAAATGTATTAATTTTTCTAAAGTAAAAAAACCTTCACAATTCATACACTGTACAAGGCCTCATTTACTTCTTGGTCTTAACAAAAAAGTAATGTCACCTGCCATCTTCTCTTTAGCTTCTGAAACCTGACAAGATTCTGTGTCACCCAGAGATACACAGAAAACAAAACTTCTTTATTATATGTGGGCATATATAAATGAATAATGTTTGAATACTTCTACATTTCCTAGGCCTGCTTTGGCCACTAATTAACATTTTTATTCGTGCTGGTCAACAGCGAATGACTGATTCATACTACAATGATAGCCATTCAATCCCTTACTGTTCTTCATTTTAAAAAATAATAAGTGACTCTACGGAGGTCTTCTATTGAAAATAGCTGAATTTTGGAGCGTACTAAACATTACTATTTTTTTCTGAAACAAAAGTCTATTGTTCTGAAACTGAATTTTATTGCTGCTACTGAATTTAGGGGAACAGGTCAAACTCATTAAAGAGCAATCTGTACTATAAAAGCAACAATTCAATTATTTGGGGACAACAGCTGATTCTACTATCCTAACAATGTCCTTGAGCAAGTAATTCCTAGTTCACTAATTCAAAATAAATGAAATGTTCCAGTGAGGGAGAAAAGCAAGGAATTAGAAAAGTGTGTAATTTCAAGGGCGTAATAATTGGTGCCTATTTGCCATTCCATTCTGATGTGCCATTGCTTCCATGCCATTCCATTCCAGCAGCCATATCATCCTGCAACTCACAACTGGCAACCCACTAAGTGTGAGGTGTGAGCCTGGTCAGTACCTGGATGGGAGACCTCCTGGGAAAAACTAAGGTTGCTGCCGGAAGAGGTGTTAGTGGGGCCAGCAGGGGGCGCTCACCCTGCGCGGTCCATGTGGGTCCTAATGCCCCAGTATAGTGACGGAGACACTATACTGTAAACAGGTGCCGTCCTTCGGATGAGAAGTAAAACCGAGGTCCTGACTCTCTGTGGTCATTAAAAATCCCAGGGCGTTTCTCGTAAAGAGTAGAGGTGTAACCCCGGCGTCCTGGCCAAATTTCCCATTGGCCCTTACCAATCATGGCCTCCTTATAATCCCCCTCTATGAATTGGCTACATTACTCTGCTCTCCTCCCCACTGATAGCTGATGTGTGGTGAGCGTTCTGGCGCACTATGGCTGCCGTCGTATCATCCAGGTGGATGCTGCACATTGGTGGTGGTGGAGGGGAGTCCCCATTAACTGTAAAGCACTTTGAGTGGAGTGTCCAGAAAAGCACTATATAAGTGTAAGCAATTATTATTATTATTATTATTATTTTATTTGCACAGAAAAGAATCTGCCATTTCTACTTTACTGCCCATATTTCTTCCCTTGAACTGTATTATAAGAAACACATAGAACAGTGCTCGTCTTTATTATTACCATCTGTATGCAACAAATACAAAGGTTAACTTCCAAGGTCATTTCTCTATACAGAAATAAAACAGCATGCTCAAGTCCATGTTGGATTGCAAGGCTACATGAACAGAGCAAAGAGAAATGTCAAACTAGTTTTCTTCTTAGAGCAAAAATACTGCTAAAAATGTGTCTGAATATATTGTTGTTACTTGTGTGACATAATGCTGATGGGTACATGGATTTTGGCTTCAACAAAGAAATTACATATAATTGATCAGAAACAAAATGAGAAAAGTCACATTCTTCGACGTACAGTATAGACCATAAAGCGCTCAGGTATGGATTAAAATGAATTTGCAGAACTAAAAGAGGAAACCAATCTATGTGGGCTGTTATTCTTACAGAAAGCGAGAGAAACCGAAGACAGGATGTATTATAAATAACACACCACAGATCTGTGTGTGGCATCTGTTACCAATATTTGATTCAATACAGGTATCTCTATTAAAGATACACAGGTATCAGGCAGAGTGTGTTGCCACAAACACTCATTTCAGAGAGGACCTTTCAAAGGTATGTTTGAAAACCTTTAAAAACAACCTTTAGCAATTTCTGATAAATGAACTAATCTCCGTGCACATTAACCAATTTAATCTGTTCTAGCTAGAATGCACAGTCAGGATCTACAAAACACATTCTTGACAGGTGTTTACGGATTGATCTCCAAGTGTAATTAAGCAGTAATTGAAGGTGGCCTCCAGTTGGTCTTTAGAACAATTCAAGTCATGAAAAACCAGGAATGATGCTAGTTTAGCAGCATTATCTGACTGGAGTTTGATGTCAGCAAGTCTGGAGAGCAGCATTATAGAGATCAATATCTAAATAAGCTGAATTGTCAGAAGTGTTCCTTGGGAATGCTGGAATTTCTAAACATCAATAAACGTTAAATAGAATCAACAAAAAATGTAGCGCAATCACTCTGTTAAATGTACTAGCTTCAGACGGAGAAAGAGACAATAACACATTGAAAAAAAATCTAATAAAAAACATGAAATGAAAACGCATTTGCTTTTAGTTCTCAGTGCTAGAGTAAAACACTGTATATATGTTGCACTGAAGGTAAGGCCTCACTGATTGAATCACTGTCAAATGGCCAGAATATCAAATCTCTTTCTATTTTGGTGCTCAAGCTAATAGTAACAGTTATTTATCCATCAGGATGGTAGATACATCCTGATGTCAAAACATGATCATAGCGCACATACTATAGTTAAGAAAACTAAGGACTTTCAGGCATTGAAACAAATGACCATAATATGAAGGCAGAAATAATACATGTTCTGACCATGAAACTGGATGAGATGTACACAGCTGTACTTAACAAAACTGCTGTTTGCAGCAGGAATTCAGTGACCAGTATTGATCTTGCAGTGCAAAGGCGTTTTACAGTTTGATGATGATGGTGAACAAAGCCTCAAATCAATAAAAATACAAAGCCTTCTATCTTAGCTTGGTTAAGCTGTGCACTTTATTCCACAGGTACTGAGAGACTAACTCATGGGCTTTTTCTCAGTAAGAAACACACTCAACATGTCAACATTTTTATACAAAAACATATATAAAAAAAGAACACATACACAAAACTCCTCAAATACTATTAAGGCCTCTATTTATTTTTTGCTCACTCTTTAAAAACCCTTTTTACCCTGTACACTTTCCTTGTTTTCATTTTAATAGCACTGGATAAAACTCAGATTTTAAACACTCGAAGAACTCCTATCCTCTTTAAACTGCACTGGCTGCCTGTGAAATTTAGAGTGGACTGTTTATTTCCAAAGGCACTGAACAGTCTAGCTAAGGAGTTGCTGCATGAGTACTGTCTGGATGTTTATCCCACAGTACATCTGCTGATTGTGGCCTTCTTACTCTACTCAACTAGAAGTCTACAGAGTCTTGTCACGTAGAGCACCATGGCTCTGGAATTCTTTTAAAATCCTTTTTAAAACTTGCTTAAAGACCTACCATTTCATTTAATACCTGTGGAATACCTCAATACAAAATTTCATTTTTCTTGTGATTTTTGCATCCCACCCCCACATTTTGCTTCGACTCCATATTATGTGCTATTGTGTTGCACCTTAGAGTTATTTCACACTTAAACAAAATATTAATAATACCTGTATGCTTTTGATGCCAGCTCTGCAATAGTATCTTTTGATATCGACGTCAATTTCAGTGTTTCCCACAAAGCTGAAAAATGAAAACAAAATGATGGATAAAGCTAAAAACACAGTAGAAAGTGGGAGCATATAAAGATTTGTGGAATTAAGTGTCTAAAAACATGGTAAATCCTGTTAATATGCAGTATTGTGTTTTGTCTGACATGGAGTTGGCATTTTACCAAGAAGGAGTCCATAAAATCAAACATTTACAAAAATTTCCTTATACTGTGAACAACCTTTCTATATTCAACTCCATCAAAGTACTGAAAGAAAGTAGAGTTATTTTAAAGGACAACAAACACTTGGGAGAACTCTGATGTGCTCTGCTCTGAATCATGTACTGTAGGTTGTTACAGATGTTTGAATTTCTACTTGCTGCACATATTCTGCTGCAAAGCTCAGACTGAAAGCAATATTCAAGTTCACGTGATGCGATGACTTATGTGTCGTTAAATATTGAATCTTTCCGATCTTGACTTCATGTCTTTATGCATTTGTATTTATAAATTCATAACAATCTCACTTTTGGTATTAAATTTAGAGTGATCACGAAATGTTCTCTGAAACACCCAGCCCTCATTTGTGCAAGTGCTATAGTACAGCAGCAGCAAGAAGGAACACATGACAGAAAGCAAATTAAACATGGTTATTCCAGCCTACTACAAACACATAAAATGTATTATAGCTATTGAGGTTTCTCACTAACTCCGATGAGGTTCTGCAGTCTAATAAGCTCCAATCCCAAACTCCAATTTCCGAATTGTAAAGCTATTAAGATGACCCCTTACAACTCAAATAAGCACAATTCAAAGTTACTTTGGTCATTATTGATGTGGTTATTCCACCAGCTTGGCATTATTCTTGTGAGATGCGTGGTGCTGCTGGACACTGTATAGCAGTCTCTGGAGCGCAACAGTACTTTTGCAGCATATTCAAGTGTTCTCATTAGCCAAAGAGAACCTCACTTGTCAAATAATTCCATTATTACGGGCAGGCTTAAGAGCGATCCTCAGTGTTACAGACAACCTGCAGATTTTTGTGAAGACATGCAATTGTAGAGTAGCGTAGTTCTCAACAGCAAAATGATGCAGTGCCTGTCAAGATGGTAGAGATCTAATAACTAAGGAATCAAGGACTGTGTGTGTGCACAACCCTCCATACTGTCATCAGTGTGTGTAGGAGTATGTTCTTTTATGCATACTTCTTCATAGTTTCTTGTATTTAATTGTAAATGAACCAACTTCATAGGTTAAATTTGTCAGATTAACAGTATACTGAGATAGTAAATAAGATTTTCACGTCTTCCTTAATTTTGTTTGTATCAGAATTATGTGAATTATAATCCTACTTTATGCAGAAGTAGAACACTTCCTAAGTAACCAGAAAAACTGCTTACTAAACTATTGAAGAACTCTGAGCTGTCTTTTACCTTATCTCAAGGTCCATGATTATCTGACGCTTGTCCACATTCTCAGTGTAAACTTTAACACCATTTATCCTCAGGGGCTAAAAGAATAAAAAACAGCACAAATTCAGGTACAATTTCTATTAGCTTGTAAACAACATCCTGTGTGGTACAATTCTGCCCTACACACATTATAGGACACAGAACAAAATGTTCTGCTCTAGGGGAGAGTTAGGACTAAGGATAGTGCTTTTCATTTAAAACCTGAATAGGATTAAGAATGTTTTTCAAAGGAAGAATTACTTATATTAAACTACGGCAAAAAAAAAAACTGGCTCTATATATATATATGCTGTGTGTAGCCAGATAAACATATATACTAAGCAGCAAAAGAAACATTTATAGCTATGTTTATAAACTCAGAAATGATTAGGAAAATGACAATTATTTGTAGCAAACATTTTAATGAACAGACAGTTAAATTCATTATACCGATTAATATTTTGTCATTAATAGGTTGTTTACTGTGAAATTCATAGCCTGGTCCCAGGTGGTTGCAATCTGCTGGAAGCAATTCAAACTGTACAAGTGTGCAACATGCTCTGCACTAGGTTGCAGGTGCTGTCCTGTGGGATTCTGTCCCATTCCTCCGGTACAATCTGAACAAGCTTGTGCTTGTTCACTGGTCTATGAACCCCAGTCCATGCCACCCCTACTCATCCTACATAACTGTCACATGCTCATCATTAACAAAAGCCACTGCTATATGTGTTGCACGAGGATATGCTGGGACCTGCTTGAATGCTGCTGTGTCTGGATGAGCCCACAGGATGAGGTTCCATGATGTGATTAACACATTGTCATGAAGTTGGGTTGCCACTAGACACTCCTATCCAAACCATCACACTTGGACCATCATGGTCTCGCAGATCATAGCCTAGCATTGAAAGATTATGTTTGGCCGCAATATCAAGCCAGGTTAGAAACTGCTGACAGTGATCACCCTAGACAGCAAGTGACTGTGTGCCGACTTATTCCAGCCTCCAACATAACGAGGGAACAAAGGTGTTATCCTCTACAAAAGAATGATATATTAGTTCCTTTTTTCTTTCTCGATTTTAATCAGGTCTGACATTCGAAAGGTTAAATCACCTTATCACTTTGGCGCAATCCCCTCTCTTGTGAGGTATTTTAGTGCTAATGTCATGAATGATCAAGCAGGACAGCCCAACACATTTATTGATCATCCAAAACCTGTACAGTTTATTTTTCTAACATCATAACACATGCAGTCAAGCAGTCAGTTCTTCTGAAGTTTGGCATATTAAAAATTCAAAACATACATGTACAGGTTACCATTGAAGGCTGCTGGTTTTGTCTTCTGAGACACTTCCAAGGAGAAACACTGAGACTTTGGCTATATAAACCCATACCAGGGAAATAACCTCCCTACCTAAACCTACACACCTCTACTTAGTAACAAATGTCTAGGGTCTAGTTTTTGAACAAGGTAAAAACGTTATCAAAGAAATGAGTTCGAAAGAAGTATGGAGGGTCATTGCAATCTGCATACATATTAGGAACAAGTAATAGGTTCATTCCATGCTGAAAAAAAGAAGAAAGAAAACACAGCGTTTCGGCCATGGAGCCTTCTTCAGGTGTGAGCTCCAGAAGGCTCCACGGCCAAAACGTTGTGCTTTCTTTCTTCTTTTTTTCAGCATGGAATAAACTTATTACTTGTTCCTGTGTAGCCTACACATGCTGACGCAGCTACCCACCTGAACTACATACATATTATATGTATGTAGATTGCAACTAATGCAACTACATAAGGCCAACAGGAAAAAATGTTAATGGGGCTTCTGATCAATTCCTTATATGGGTGTAAACTGAAAGGGTGAAATGACGTATCGTTTATTTGCCCCACCTTGTCCCCCATGTCGATTTTGGTGAAGCAGAAGGTGCTGAGATGGGCGTTGGCCCCTTTGACTGCAGGCTCTATCGTCTCCCGGAACAGCTTGTCTACAAACTGACAGATGTAGGGCCACATCTGCTTCACTGTCTGAAACGGGAAATGAGAAGCAATTTAATTACAACCATTTATTGCTGGGTTACCAGCAAAAAAACAAGGATTTTAACAGATCCTGTCATTCCAGGTCTCGAATTAATTGAAATTAACGGATGCCCACATCATGGTAAAAGCATCCTGCCTCGGAAATAAGGTTTAACTCTGAAAGTGACGCAGTTCTCCAAAATATGTGGGATTGCGTATGGAACATTCAGCACAAAATTGTCAGTAAAGTAATGATGGAAAAGAAATGGGGTAGACCTCGTGATGCCTGATGGGTTTTTTTCTTCTCTCACATTCTGTAAAACTAAATTTAGCATGTTTGCATGCACTACAGAATGTTTATACTGTACCATCAACTGTAAAAATAAAACCAAAAAGGCTACAGAATGCATATTCCCTATTTCCCTTGGATAGTCTTACAGAGGTTAACCCTCTTGGGCTAAGACCTCTTAGCTGATTACTGAAATACCGAATTCCAAAGTTTTAAAACATTCAAGGTCACTAGGTTATCGTGTGCAATGATAGCTCCTAGCACTGTTACGCCTACAACACAGTCTTAAAGGCACAGCGCGTACTGTATGCTTGTGATTTGAATCTGATGGGCAAAACAGCAGTATCTTTTTGAAGGGAAACTAGAACTGGCAAATAATCTGACAGGATAAAAAAAGTGACCTAAATAACCAAAACACCTATAAGCTCAGCAGAGAAAACAGATCAGTTTCCCACATAAAATAGTATCAAGGGACATCTGTGTGTCTGTATGGGCAACAGAGCTCTAGATTGTAGCCTATTTATATCCACAGCTTTAACAAGGTCAGAGAATGCACAGCACTGATAAAATAATACACCAAGACACAGTTCCTTCCTACCCCTGAAAATGCTGAAAGTTAAAGGACATTTAAATCTCTCTTACCTTGTTCAACCATTCTACTCTTTCTACATCTGGAAAGTGAACCTGGAATTGGGAAAAAAAAAACATTAGTTACTCAGCGTTCTCATATCTGAAAATATAATGATGTTCAAAAACCCTGCAGTCATTCCTAATGGTTTTAATCATTTAAACCAAATTATAGAGAAACTTATGCATTTTGTATTTGAAAATAAATCTATGGTATGTCTCCCAACATTTTACTTTTTTCTTCCCAATCTGAGACGCCTGGTAGCATTTTAACATGTTCTTCGATTTGACACAGAACGACCCAGATCGTTTTCTGAACTACAGTCATTCGGCTGATGTGCGGGTTATTTCTTCCTTCATTTTGTCACACAGTTGTTAGTGCAGTCTGAAACCAAGCTGGCCGACACATATGCACTGGAATAGATGTAAAGGTCCTGGCCCTGTGTAGCCAGACCCTCTGACTTCCAGGGTCTGACTGGTCACTCACAGACCCAGTTTCCTGGCTTCATCTAGTCTTCTGATTGCTGAAACACTACATGTTATTCTTAGGACCACTTCTTTGACCAACTGACTGTGTTTAATTGCGTCAATAAAAGTCATGTTTTTAATGGCTGTTTATACGGACTCCTAGTAATTTCACTTTTATAATCTCACCTCAACACAAATACCAAACACAGAGCACCTGATGATTTTAGGAAATCCCAAGTATCAGTGCTACTAAAATAATTAACTATTTTTAGCCACAATTTAATGAGTCTACAAAGAAATACAGATGTATCAGATGGAACAAGACTGCAGCTTTTGCATTTTCCTATAATTTCTTTTGGGAAAAAAAACATTACTAGTCTTGTTTCTGTGGTGAATTTAAAGAACAAATAAAATAGCAATAAACTTATTTTAAAGTTACTTTGTGTTTTAAAGTTAATATGAAGGCCAATAGTACTGTAGCAGTATTTTGCAATCTTACACTTATGTATTTATCCTAAGTTTTTTTTTTCTTTTTTTTTGAGTTTATGTCCAGTGGTGTGAATTCGGAAACAATTATTTTTTAAAAAGTGAAATGCCTATAGAGGAAGCAATGAATGAAACTTTTACTATGAATGGTGCACTTAAACAGCAACAATTGTACAAAATAATATGCATGTTATGTAATCTAGTATATAATATCTACTTATATAACATCATACTGCAAGATAGCAACTTAATATTTATCTGTGCCCCATATATTATTTACTAGAAGCTTAAATCCTACACAAATACACACTGTAATCACTTTCTGGTTAATTCCTTCCTCTCAAATTCCAACATTCCAACATATTTCAGTTAAAACTACGCAGAAACAGAGAGACAGATCTCATGCCAGAACTCTTTTCAACTACAATCAGCTACTTGACAAGGGGCATAGCCTGCACCTTGATGATAAATTACCACTGGCAACATGAGCACTTAAGCAGTGCTGACTAGACATGACCTTTGCATTAAATAGCCAACAGACTGCTAACAATAACAGTAAAAATAAGAATAACTGCATTCATTCCTTATGTTAAAACCCAATGTTAAAACCGAAGCGAAAACCTAAGTACTCTGATGAAAGCAGTTCCATTTTTTAAACCTTCATTGCTTAAAATTAATTATATCTACAGTATTCCTAGCTTCTAAGTATTCGGCACCTGGAGTGCTTCCATAAGCAGTAGATTTCCTACAATATATGCTTGAAATGAAGCATGTAATTAGAAAAAAAATCAATACAAAAGCGCTGCAATTATAATGATGCCATTATCACTGGTATTACACAATACCGAGCTCTCTCACACACTGTGACTGTGCGTGATACTCTGATATGATACTTTAGGTTCAACTATCCCATCACACTTGTGAACAAGGAGTTGGGTTAATTCTGCGGCACCCACACCCAAAACAAGACTAATTTTAAGTAGCTTGTGCTTACACTATCGACTTCAGAAGATCACAAAAACCTCTAATCAGACTGTATAGTTTAATGCAAAATATCCTGTACAATTACCCTTACTATATCTGCTAAAAAAACCTCTTTCACTGGAGAGTCTTATTGCATTAGATTGACACTGTATGGGATGTATTAGATTGTTCATCCTAGCAATACACTGCTATTTTTTTACAAGCTACCATTACTAGATGTATCTTGCATTTGAATTCATGGCAAAAAGCCTTGGTGCCAGCCAACTAAATAAACACAAATGTTTCATATTCATTTTTGAAACCCCATTAATACACACTTTAAGATAGACACCAGAACACATGCTTTCAAAATGCTTATATTGCAACAGAATGAACAAACAAATCAAGGCTTAGTGCTCATCCCATGATCCATATATTGAGAAACTTAACTGCAAAAGTAAACTGCAGCTGGTCAATATCTTTCACGGTGAGACAGTCCTGCTGAAACAAGTATAGCTTTCCAACCCCAGAACAATGCTCTCATCTGTAGTTAGTCTCGTTTCTAAACAGCAATACAAACCTTTCAACAGCTAAACCGAGAACCAACTAATTCACCCCTTTCCAAGATTTTAAAAACTTCTTAAAACTTAGTGTATTTTGTAGTTACACAGTCAATATTTTTACACGGGGCTTTCACAGAAAAAGTAATTTGAAAAGGATTAATTAACACAACAATTGTAGCAGTGCCCATCCTGAATAATACAAACTGGCGTTTCAGAGCAGCTCATTATTCCACCATAAGGGCTACTCGGTATTCGCTACTCTCTCCACACCTATTTTGCTGCACTAAATAATTGATTCTAACAGATGGTTTCTCGGTTGAGCCATGTTTTATTAATTAATCTTATTAGGTAGTTTTAAGTAACAATCAAAGGTCTAAACCTCTGGCAAAACTGCAACAAGGAAACGCCTGAAACAAGTGTTTTGGCTGAAAAACAAGAGACCCTGGAGAGCGAGTGTACAGTAAATTACTATACTTTAGCTGCATGAACAAGATGTCTTACTTCAACCTCCCACATGCAGTTAGTTGAGGACAAAAATGGAAACAACCTCTGTATAATGCAAGATTGAATAACAACAAAAATGGATTTATAAAAAATAAGGCCTTTTTCATTAAATAATACAATCGTTTTATGCGTATTATTGATTTTTTTCAAAACATTCTGAAGCAAGAATTTGTAACTTTTTCATTTTTGCAATTTGTCATTTTTCTTGACAGATACACTGAGTCCACGATCTGTGCCATTTGAAAAACCTTGGGAATTCAGCTACAGCCTGCCAAATACTGAATTACCTTTGATAAATCTAATATGAACACAAACATCACTCTCATCAAGACTTACGGCTTAAGCACAGAAAGGTTTGTGTTGGGGTATTGTGGTATCATCAACAGTGTGTGCTGTTTCGGAAAGAATTTTCCCCTTCAATTCAAAATAGGAAAAACAAAACTAATTGCAAGATCTGGATGGGGAGTAAGCCAGTCCGTGACTCACGTTTAAGCTATTTCCTGATCAAAATGGTCTGGAGGAGCCTCCATATTAAAATGTGTGCAACTCTGAGTTACTGCACATCGCACAGTGAAAAAAGAAACGCACAAATTCTGGGCATCTATGATTCACCATTAGTGTTATTTTAGAAAGGAAACGACAATACTTTTTAAAGCCTAAGTTCTGTTTTAGGATTTCTTTAACAAGGTGCACCATGTCTGTTTCCGTTTTGTATGCCACTTTTAGATGACTGATCAAAATGAGTAAAGATGAGAAAATCTTATGGTTCTAGATGAAGAAGGCAGTTTGATATATACAGTATATATTTTTTATTTGGACGTATAGCAATATTTTATTTCTACAATACAGTACAAAGCTAGTGATTAAATCATTTATCGAAGTCCTTGTTACCCTTATGTGAAGCATTCAACACTAATTTAATCCAAATCTATTTCCATTGATCAGAAATAAATACATTCTAAAAAAGAATAGCAATAGTAAAATATGAACAATGATAATAAGATCAGCAACTTGTCAACAAAGAATCTACACCACAGATCTTCAACCCTGCCCAGTCTAGCAGGTTTTAGAAACTTTTCCAACAATTTGAAGAATTTAACTGTGATCGCTTAAGAATGCGATTTACTTCTGAATACCTTCCAGCTCTTTGAGACCTGCGTTCTCTTAACTGAAAAAATGTCGTCTTTAGTTGGCCAATAACCAACACATGTTCCCAATCTGCTGTCACTGCTGGCTGTAGTAGGACTCTGCCCCAACCAGTTTAGATTCCCTAGATCTAGACTCTAGTTTTCAGACAGAGAACAGTCTTAGTCAATAGAGCAACAGGCATCCATGACTGAATGTTGTCTCTGAGCATTCTTTTCCTCTGATACATGCTCTTCCTTCAAACAACAAAGATGCAGGTGTCGTATTTCTATAGCTCTCAATGGAGCAACGGGCCGAAAAGCTCTTTTTAGGCAGCCGATAAAGCAGGAGTCAGGTTCTCTTTCATTCATGTCGATATATCTACATTCACAATGTTAGGGAAGTCATGACTTTCGGCAGTTGTGACCTAGAACACTACTGTGTGACTGTGTGAGTGTCAAATTAGCCCAGGGTCTTATTTTTAGGGAACAAGTCATACTTCACGCAGCAGGTTGTTCATACAGCTTTTAGAATCAAAATGTCAAATTATTCAGCTCATTAGAATTTCTGTTGCATTTTGTACGAATCATTTAATTAAAGATCAATGCATCTGTAAAGAAATAAGAGCCACCCCAATGGTTTTACAATGAGGCACTGGACCTTCAAGTAACAATGCTGTTGTTTTATTGTGAAACGATCAACAGTTCCAAACCTGCCCCTTTTCAAATTTTCTAGAAAAACAAACAGAATTTGCTGTCTATTTAGTTCCGAGATTGAAACCCCCACTCCTGATGCTTTCACAAATCTTGAGAGAACAGTACATCTTTTGAAATTATTTTAAAACTTTAGAATCAAATCACGAGCACTGAAAATGCATCCTATGACGATTTCAACCTGACAGAATAAATGTCACAAAGGTAAAATAACGTCAATTTGTGAAAGCCAAAA